TGTACTTTTCTCATAGTTTCTGAATGAAAGAATGTGTAGACTGTAGGAACATCTCAGAATCTTTAGCACACTTTTCTCTTTAATCTGTGATATTCTAGATCTCTAGGCGTCTCGTTACTCAAACATTTATAAGAAAAACAAAATGCAAAAAAATCGTTACGGAATTCCACTCCGGTAGCAGAGATGGCTGGCCAGAGCGTGCTTCAGATTAGTAAAAATTATTCTATTACTCAACAAGTAGTTTTCAAAACGTTTACTGGACTCTACGATGTAGTGGAGATAAAATAGAGTGGATGTTGATATTTTGAGGTAGTCTGGCTCGATTTTGAGTGAATTATATGTTTTCTTCTAAAGCCTTGGCTGTCAAACAGCCAAAATCGCAAGCATTTATCTCTTTTCTATCTCGAGAACTGTGGCGAGAAAACTAGCCATCTACCGTTCCATTTGAAATCGATAGTAGTTTGTTGCTTCTTATCGTTTTCTGTTCCTTTTGGTGATCAAAACCTATATATTTATTAGACTTTTAAGTAGATCTACTTTTTAATAACGACAATTATAACACGTTAATGCTATTTTCATTTTTCTTTTGAACTGGAGTGCTGTAGTTATTTCGTCTTAACAGACTCATAATGGGCATCAATAATTAAGAAAGCATGCAAGAAGTTTGAGCGGCTAGGGGCCAAAAGAGATAATAGTTTTTAATAGCTCTTTGTGATTCACTCTCACGTACGCCGCCGCCGTCACAGCCGCTTTTGATGTTATTATCTCTTTTAAGACCAAGCGGTTGTGCTTCTTTCATACGCTAAATGAGCTTTGATAGCAATTAATAAAAAGCGAATATACAGAATAAAACAGAATAAAATCGAAGAGAGAGAAGAGATTTTATATGTTTTCTCGAATTACTATGATCAAAGAGAATCTTTTTACATGCTTCGTCATCTACGACTGGTACAATAATAATTTTGATGACATCTCCAAGTTTTTCCAACTTGATAAAAACAATTGTATCCACTGCATTTACTCACATTCGAAAGCATGTGTGATACTCATCTACTACAATACTATTTTCATTTTATATTTTATTTATATCTTTTTTCCTTTTATCTAATCTGAAGTTTTTTATCTATTAACCAATTTCTCCAACAATGACTTTTGCATTTTTTATTCGTTGGACAAGAATATTTTTAGTTTTCATTGTGAAACAATGTCATAAAAATATAATTAAATTTTACAATGAAATTGCATTTGTTCATCTATTCCCGGACAAAAGCAACTTGTTCTCTCTCATACAATACAAACAGTCAAGGTACATATCTTAAAGCAAATTTTTAATTATAATAAAACCACAAAAGCAAAGAAGCACAAAAGAAGGACACAAGAAAAAAATGGAATATGAGTAGAGAGAAATATTTGGTTCTTCGAAGGCATGAGCTTCGCTTCCATCCGTAACACATGTTAACAATTAAACATTTATTTTTAAAACATTTACCTTCAATACATGTATTGTGTGAAAGAATAGATTGCTTTTTCTGCTGTTTCCGGATGAAATAAAACTAAATAATCAATAAAGAAACATTTAATAAGTGAAAAAAATACTTTTTGTAAGTCTTTTCATGAAACAACTATCGAAGATATATCGGAGTTAGATATGTTCTTCTTAGTAATATGTGCTATTGCTGCTGTCGGTGAATGCATAATGATGGGAAAGATCTATAATAGTAGTCTTATGCAATTGGATGCAGGAACAGCTGTCGAAGTCGTTATAGACGGTATATGTGCAGCGTGCACTTGCCATTTAATATTAAATTCGTATGAATACGTTGCATTCAACTGTTATTCGAACAACAATACATGTTTAATGTTTAAAAATTATTCATCATCTTATAGGATAGAATCAAACATAGATTCAACATTTACATTTTTGTCACTGCCATCGTCACAAGAAACCCTTATAACTGTAACCACAAGTAAGCAAGGTTAATATTGTACAAAAAATCTGAAGTAGGTAGTGATTTTTTTCTTTCATTAGCTGTCGAGATTGAAACAAGTGAAATAATAAGCACATCGATAACGACCACAACAACGAGTAAGCTGCATCCTTCTATATGTTTATAATCCACAACCAAATCATTCGTTTTTTTCAACAAGCTACTACTACAACGACGTCATCGGCCGCATCTGAGTGTCAATTACCATCATTACCGTGTACACTTGTGAATATTACATATGATCAATTATTATTTTTACAAGATGTGTCGACTGGATCGAACGTTTACGAGTGTTATGCTTACGGCTTTTATGCGACATCGCAAGCTCATACATTGTCATTCAGTTTTCGGCAAGATCCAACAGAGTGGTTCTTGGATGATGTTTCTGTTGTAGCCAACGATACCAACCAACAATTACTTAGCAATGGCTGTTTCGAAACGGGTGATTTAACAGGATGGATCTACTCTGACAATGGCGGTTGTAGTCCAGGATGGTCAAAAGTCGATAGTGATGTTAATAAAGTCCATTCGGGAAAATATTATTATTTTGCGGGCTGTTACGGGAAAACTGACTATTTAACTCAAACATTTGCGACAACAATGGGGCAATTGTATGTAATCAGTTTCTGGTTGGAAAATGCCGGTGGTACCCCTAGCTTGGCTAATGTAACCATCAGTTAAACCTCGCTAACTGATAAAAATCTTTTGAGCCCATATTTTGGTGACCAACAGTACTAATGATTGTATCAAAAAGTCCAACAGGATTACGCTGCTTCGGTGCTAAGAAATTGATGACTTTTGTTATTATTGGTGGCGTTTTATTGTGACTGGTTTCTTTAAAACTCAATAACGAAAAAGACTTTGGGCTGAAAAGTTTTTTCGCAGTACATCTATCAAATAGCTATCTGCTGTGAAAAATAAGAATAATATCTCACTTGTGCAGGGAAAGAACTATTGTAGTAACTACAGGTGTTCGTATACACGTGAGTATAACCTGATGTGACACATTGTTAAAAGGTCTACATACATGGCACATATACATAACTGCTTGTAAACGTCATTCATATAACAATCATCACATACCCGATCCCCAACAGATATTGTGGGAACATTATAATTACAAGAAGAACATACTATTCGTGTACATTTGGAACAATGATAATAAGCCAAATTAGAATTATACGGATGTTCATATTTATAGCATCTTTGTTAAATCTCGCCAACTGGCTGCACGCTGATTATGACGACGGGAAAATAGCATTGATCAAACATATAATTCCAATCTTGACATGTTTTAATAAGCATGATAAATTGTTGTTCTTGTAATTGACTCAAAACTGTCGGTCTACCAATTTCGCTATTTCGTGATATTCGACTTGATGATTTAATGGTTCCGATCGGTATCTTATAATCGACAGAAGCTTGTCATTGTGACTTACTGGCTTTAACATCCTGGACTGCTAGCAAAAGATCGTTCAATGAGTATTGCAAAATTCGTTTTTTTCTCATGTTATTCAACGTTTTAGTAAAACTTATTTTGTACAATATTTCATAGGATATTGTAGAAAATATTTCGCAGAAATTAATTCACCAACTGTTCTGTACATAATGAGCCAATTTCGAGATTTTTCCGACCAATTAGTAGTAATGTACCCCTGAGTAATGAAAGCATATGTACTATGTATTAAAACGGCCGTATCACAGTCATTTTAAGGCGCCGCTAATGCATAGTTATGATGCCTCTCAGCTTTACTTCGCTTATACATAGATCGATGGAGTTTGAGGAGCTGCATCTACTGGTGGTCTTTTAGTTCAGAAAATCTTTTGTCTTCCTGGTGAAATTCGCAAAATATCGAGAAGGATGAAAAGACGCATCCTTCACATAAAGTTTTGACGAAACTTTTTGAACGAAACTTTTAGCGCTCTCAGATAGTCCATACATCAAAGTGTATCTTTATGTACTCTAATCTTACATGAATGCACTTTAGATTTTTGACGAAATGTAACGATCATTGCCCACTATGGGCGACGGGGTAGTGGAATTATCTCTGTCGGCATTTGTGATACAAAGGTAGTTAAAACTAAACTGACAATGAGTGATAATAATTGTACGATCAGTAACGTTTGATTTAAAAGTCTCACACAGTAATAGCTATGACACAGTATGAGAAATCGATGAAGAATATTGTCCAAATACCGATTGTTTAAATTATTTTCTTCTCACCTGTGCTAAACAAACACAAAGATTAAGAACAAAAACAAAAAAGAAGATATCATATCATTTTTCATTTTCTGACACATGTAATCTACATTCGGTCACAATTACCTTGCACATATTTTACAATGTCTCACAAACACACACATTTCATGTAAATCAATTCTGATGAAAAACTTTATTCAACGAGATGAGTCAAAGTTTTGAACATTGTCAATAAAAAATATTTAACAAATAATGGCAAGATTATTTTCTTTCATTTTGCTTGTGTGAGTTAACCGATTGTTGTGTTCTTTGTCTCTCTCTTTTCTATCGGCTATTTCAGTTTTATTTGTTTCAGAATCAACTGGATCAACGGTATGTCCGCATAAAGAAACTATCGTCCATTTCAAAATAGAAGAGCGGTGCCCAAAGCACTCTAGCTTTAAATCAAAAACGATTTGTATACAGGGGTGCGTTTTTCTCCTTAAGAGTGCCTGCATGAGTCTATCGAGTACTGAGAGAAGAGGGAGGCACAGTTCAAACACTGGATTTCGTTGAAAGTATCTAAGAAGTATCTCCACCTTATTTTAGGCAAGTTGCACTTTTTATTTTATTTAGAAACGCTTGGTTGCTGAATTGTCGAATTTTTCTTTTTCGTTCGTTCATCTGTCACTTGTTCTCTTTCCTTATTTTTCATTTCATATATCTGTTGTAGCCAAGCTTAAAATTTGGCTCACGATTCTCAGTCAAAATTAAAACTGAAGGTCTGGCTAGCCAAAATTAAAATTAGATTGTTGATTTTAATTTTGGCTAATCAAATTTTAAATTCGGCTAGCCAAGGTTAAAATTTCAAGTTTGGCTGAGATTGTTCAGCTAAATTTAGAATCTGACTAGCATTC